TATTTAATAACTCATGTAATTAGCTTTTTTGCATCAACAAAATCAGTGGTAATAAATCTTCAAAACTTGGCGACCTCTGGCAACCGTTGGCTACATGTTTACCGGGACCTTGAAAATCTTCTGCTTTTGTGATATTGACTTATTTGTTCGCAGCGTGTGGAAATCAGTTTTTTACAATCCATCAATCAATTGGAAGGAAATCGGAACGCGAAACCGGAAAAAACGGTCCAATCACAGCGGAGAAATAGAAATGCCGAATTGAAAGCGCCCAACGAACAAAACCGGCACAATGAATTGTGATCACAATCCCATACAGATGAACTAAGTCCAGCGGAAGTTAAGTTGGGAACGGACAATCGTCGTAGGGTGATTGGACATTGAGCGTTCAATATTCGCGCAACGGAGTTGAATCTTCGAAAGCTATGACGTGTCCCTGCTGGACCAGAGCAATCAGGAAACCAATTTGAGAGTAAAAGTCCAAACTTTCAAGCTCCGTTTGGGCACCTCGGGGTCTCCACAATACTGGTAAATTATCCCACAAAACTTTCTAGCCAGAGGCGTGGTTGCTCCAGTGAACAATGAAATTTGGTGAGCTGCGGAAATGTGGACCTGAATCAAGACGGTTTTTGATTTCAGCATATACGCAACAAAATTCAACATTCTAGCGTAGAAAGTTTTACTCCAATTGTAAAGGTTTTGCAGCTGAGAGTATTGTGCGGATAATGAGCTTCTAGACATTGTTTAGAGACTGTATACTCGCAGACAGAAGAGGGGGGATTTACCGTTCAACCCCATACTGACGACGTTATATCGATTGGTAGTGAAAAGTTTTTATTCCAACTACAAGGTTCTTCGAACAGATCAACAACAGTTTTGAGAATATTCTGGGCATTTCAACCGAGATTTCGTCGTGCCAGCGAAGCCAGTATACCCTCAAAAGCCGAGAAATACCATACAGCCATTTCATCTTTAACAACATATTCAGGTTAGCGCATCTCACGGAACAGTATGAAGTTTCGAAATCATAACCTCCCATAGAGTAATTGTGTGTTGTGTTCTTTTGGTTTTCACCCGACGAGCGAAACACTCAACTGAGAAGACGTCACTCAAAGGGTAACGCAACCCATAATAATGCTATGTGGATTCCATTACTGAAGAATGAATACGGCTATATCCCTTCTTATAACGTGTTTATCACACTGCTAATCACCCGCTACTAGCAACAGCATTTTTGTTTGAACTACCAGTGGAGAGGCTGTGCGTGCGAAACTTTCAGAATTTTCGTCAGAGGCGCAGTGTTATCACGCGTACTTAGTTTGTTCAGCTCACAAGCAAGAACACCAATCCGACAGTCGCACTAGAACATATTGAGTAACGCAAAAAACGCCCTGGTAAACGCAGGCAGTTCCGTCACGCTCACTTAGTTTGTTCAGCTCACAAGCAATAACACCAATCCGACAGTCGCACTAGGACATATTGAGTAACGCAAAAAAACGCCCTGGTAAACGCAGGCAGTTCCCATCGTATCGTCAGTTCCAAGGCCGTTAATCTTGAAGACAGGTTTTATAGCAACCTAAGGACAAAATGCGGCGTGTAATTACGGATCAGATAGGTCAGCCGACTAGACAAAACGACAGGAGCTGCTGCAATACTAAGTCGGAGAGAGCCTAAGTTTCTCGGAAAATGCTTAGAACACAGTGGTTTTGATTGATTTGTTACAACAACACCGACAATGCCCAGAAAACGTGAATTCCAGTGGCGAAGGTTGGTGGCAAACGCTGTGGTGAAATTAATTCAAAGGCCTGGGGATGATCACACGTGCACTGTAGAGTGCAGCTGCCTTTTAAAAACGTCTATTCACACGAAATCATTGACGTCCATGTGCCGCATTTCGGTCGGAAATTTTTCATCTCTCCATTTCGACAGACCTCCTAATAACGACTGCTACAGATATGAATTGAAAACGCCAGTTTCAACATCTCGAACTTGACTTATTAACTGGTAGACGGAAAGTCTGCTTGACCTAGTTTTGGCTATTTGAAGAGGTAACTCACAGGGTGTATCCTGGATTTGAATTACTGACAACGCTACGCAGATGTTAGTATGATAATAGCCAGCATATTCGCATGAGTGTGTTCGTTTAAATCTTGCTGTTACACACGAGGGAAAAGCCAGGAACTGTTTATCGTTTCTAGACATCTTGATAATACTTAGATCTAAGGGATCCGTCTTCAGGAACGTACCAGAACAGGTGAAGGTAGTATCACGCCATTACCTTAGAAACGGAACGGGGTAAGAGCCTTAGACAAAACAGACGTGTTTTGCGCTTCACCCAGAAACGCTAAAGGATTTGGACTCACTAAGCGTGGTACTGGATCTGAGTAGCCAGCTTACATTCACCTACCCTCCAAATGAGATGGTGCAATGATCTTGGCAACACTAAATCGTAAATACAACCTGGAGATCGACATGTTCTCGACCAGACTCGAAAGTTACCCCCTGCCATCCCCAAAAGAAGATCAACATGTAGGGACCAGACGAAATCTGTGAACCAATTTATACGTAACTGTGGAACAAGTCAGTAACAGAACTCATAGGTACTTCACCACTAGAGTTAAGGAGGAACTAGAACTTCGGGTCCGAAATTAACTTTTTCAAAATAATGATTAGGAAATCACCACAGTCCCCTAATAAACGGAGGTCTGTTCGCCAAAAACTCTAAGGTTACTTTTATCTCGGCGTTTGTAACCTCACTTCACCACCGAATTTCACGTGTATCGACGTTTGTCGAGGTTTTGCGCGAACCGACTATTGTTGGATTTCAGAGCGAGGAGACCGGACCTTACTGTGGTGCGACGGTTTGTGAACCTCGATAACCCATAGAGCTATACCAGGTAGTGTACATCTAACACTCACAGAGCCTCTCGTCCTCTGTTGGTCAATGGGGAGAAGTATGAATAACGGTCTCCTGGTCACCTAGGTTGAGATGCAAGCTGCTCTGATGGTCTTAGTTCAACCACCACTGCCTTGTGGTTAAGCTTTTAAGCCAAATAATTTGGTTGAGGACCTTAATCATCCTTTTGTTCAGGTCTGGATCCCTGGCATTATCCCAACCATGAACTAAGCACCTGCAAATAGTCTTAGGTCACATGGGCCGTGGTGTAATGCCATCGACCGCGTGTTTGTTGCCGGTCTTCGCCATTCGAACTTTACAGCAAAATGCAAAGCAAGCACCTTAGTGTGCCTATTGGATTCATTTTCCACTGATGTGTGTTGTCTATCTGAAACGAAGATTCAAGACCCAAGTACGGCTGCTTCACCTACTCATTGGTTTGCTCTTGCATCCGGTTGCGCAACTCTGGTGATCCAGATCCCGTTGATTCTGCAATGTTCGGTATTCTTTGAAGCTACCGAGCTTAAGGCTCTCTGCTTAAATATTGCCCATGGATGATCAAATGCATGCGGTTCGCATGGCAATATCTTTGAGAGTATCCCGGAAGTGCGCCGAAATTGCTATCTATATATTGTATATGCATACGTCTCAGCAAGCTGTAAATTTGATATTCTTAAAAAGCCTCTACTACGCTTTGAACGCCATCTTGCAGTGGGCTAAGAGCTCAGTTATTGTTGTTGCCTGAATCGTAAATACGTATGCAGTTATACTAAGTGCTTTTGAGGCTCATTTGGATGGTGATCTTAGAATGGAGTCGCGACGCCGAACATCAACGAAAGCCAGCTGAAATTATGTTCTGACACGAGGCCGTTTCTGTACAGAAGAATAGTTGGAATCACAAACTCACAATGTGATCAAGAGACGGGCTCCTCGTGAAGTGAGTGATACTGCATCCAAAGAATGCACCAAACATTGCAAGCTAAAGGGGTCACATCAAGTCGTACGCATGTGGAGTTACCGCCTGGCGAGAACAGTGCTGATTTCCGTGCCTTATTCGAAGTGTCGGAAACAGAGATTGATATGACAGAAGGGGACGAAGTATGTCATGAAAAGCGTGGGCGCTATCTGAGGATTCCTCATACGATACAGATCCCAATCCCAGGACAATTTATTACCTCAAACTCAACCGGAAACTATTTACATCAAACACGGAATCCAGCGAGTCTTGGGTCACAATACATACCGTATAAAAGTACTTTAGGAATATATCACCATTCCTGTTAGAGATTGCTTTTTTAGGTTCCGAAAAAGTCAAAAGAAAACACGCTTTGAGAAGTTTTCCCACAAACATAGAATTCCCATCAGCAGCCTCTCGAACATGTAACATCACAAAATGCTGAGGCACGTAGAAGAGTTGTATCGAAATCCCTAAAAACCAAACCACATGACGTCTTACTTTCCAGACGGGTGTTTCTCTGACAAGCATTCTGACCTAATAGATATCATCCTCCCCTTATTGATCAGTATGGATGAGTCAGCAGATAATACATAGTCCCGACAACTTCCCATTGCAAACTGGTCGCTCAACGATCCAGTCATATAAGTATATCCTAGGGACCATTACAACTGTGTTTTAGCCTGTCCTTCTAAATACAGCACCCAGGCTTTTCAGCATACTAATTATACAGGTCACTGCACATTGAGTACTAGAAGACCCTGATTGGTGATACCACATCATGTCAAACCGAGTAGAACAATTCAAAGAACTAGCCTAGGAACTGCACTTACGCTCCAAGTTGACGTCAGCTTAGAAAATTAGACGAAAATCTACGGTTGATTCGCTGCCACCACAGCAGTAAAAAAAGACGCAATAAGCTGTGCAAAATCTTATCAACTTTTGGAAGCTCGATGAGAAGTGTGAACGTTGACTCACTGGTGCAAAATAAATCCATGGTGTATGGTTTGAAAAATCTGGTGGATGTGAAATAGTTTGATTGAAGAGGTTCGGCAGTCGGCTTTGGAATGAGAAAAAGAGAAATTTGTATAGATACAGTGGCACTTGATTAGTAGACTGTAATCAACTCGCACTCGATTATGAATCGGTTGTTCACAACTTTGAAAGCACGAAGCGAGTCAGCGTCTTGCAGTAGGCATCACGAGCGAGTCGTGCCAGTAGGACGGATTCTTCCAAACTCGTATGCTTAACCAAGTCAGCAAGTGGTCCTTGACCAGAAACCGGCTTCTGAGCATCTAACTTTGTGACCACCATCGGTTGCGTGCCGCTACCTAGGGCTTCTTTGTCTTGGCTGGATAGTTCCGGGTTGAGCAATTCATGAGGAACACCAACCTCCACGATTCGGCCATCTTCCATAACAACCATAAGATCGTTATCGATCACCGTATGTAACCGATGCGCGACAGTTATCACGGTGCAGGAGGCAAACTGGGAGCGCAACGTTTTCTGAATAATTGAGTCAGTGCTGTGGATTATAAAGGATAGAAAAAAACTGGGTTATTAACATAAGTCAATGATTTTCGACTGAAAAGGTATCAGTAGAGGTAAAAAATCCTTGGGTACATTCAGTTGCCTGAGAACACCACAAACGAGAGACTCAGATGGGTTCCAGGCGAGTCTCTCGAAAAATTAAATCAGTTTGCAAACGAGTGTGTATTCTCTAAATTCGTGCAATTTGGTTTCAAGTAGAACATAAGGTTGACGGAAACCCGGGGACTGCGCCTACCTGATGAGCCCCAAAAAGGGCGAAATCGGTCGTGATCTGTCGACGGATTTTCAGCAACCTTATGCGTAGTAAATTACAAAGAAAAAACAAACCAATACCAACACACATCGTTCAACTGGTGAGATAAATGTAATTTCACGATTGTGTTCACTCTCAATCTAGGTCAGGTCAGCTGAGAGAAACTACCTACGAATTAGATGTCACGTAATTGCAACTTTTCCATTATCAATCGAATGATCAGCTGCGAATAAAAAAAATACACGAAAAAGCGAATATACACTCATTTGCAAACTAATTTGGTTCTTTCGAGAGACTCACCTGGAACCCAGCTGAATCTCTCGTTTATGATGCTCTCACGCAACTGAATGTGCTGCACCAGGCGGCCTCATGTTTCAGTCGCTACGATATTCGAGACACCGCGATACATGTATATCTTTGTAATGTACTACTCATAAGGTTGCTGAAAATCCATCGACAGCCCACGACTGTTTTCGGCGATATGATTCAGGCAGGAGAGTTGTTCGTCCATCTTGGATGGAAATAGGTCGATTGACAGACACATTGTCGACACACTGTCGACGGATTTTAAGCAACCTTATGAGTAGTGAGTGCATCACAAATATATACATGTATCGCGATATCTCGAATATCGTAGCGACTGAAACATGAGGCGGCCTGGTGCAACACATTCAGTTGCCTGAGGACATCACAAACGAAAGATTCAGCTGGGTTCCAGGTGAGTTTCTCGGAAAACCAAATTAGTGTGCAAGTGAGTGTATATTCGCCAAATCCTTGGATACCGTTTACATCAGGGCCCATGATATCTATAGGACTAATTTTGTCACCATAGAGCGCAAGCTCCAGAAAGTCCCTGAGTCAGGCGGCACGGCAGCTTCACCGAGACTTTTATAAGAAAAAATACCACGGAGAACGATTACTCTTCAGCGTAACCACGAAGGCTCTTTTGTTGGTGACAGGAAGGATAACGTCGAACCTTAGAAGAATAACCGGCAATCCTATTCAAGGTCAACGTAGCAAACGCTCTACAAAGTCACTAACCAACCATTCCCACATGTCACTTTCACGAAACCGGAATACACTTCCTCAGAGCGGTATGAACTAAGTGAGCCAGCAAAGTGCATTAGTTTTGGGTATCTATCCCTCTTAATAGATTCGCCTCGTATTCTAAACTACGATAATGGCCCTCCGGCCCTTGTTAACATTGGAATGTAGAGAGATACAAAAGGAGAGAGGTTCACGTTTATTATGGGTATTTCACGGGGCGTATGCGAAGTCACTGAAAAGGGGCCTTCGTCGTCCGCTGCTAGCATTTTGAATAAGAAATCGGTCGGTGCCTGTCCGCTGTGCACAGTATGGTACATTGACCAAGTTCTTACTAGGGATCCACATTGGCAGTCGCCTCGTCCACAACAATTATTCTATTCCCACCAAGGATGGCCCTGGCCAAGGCGAGCAGTTGCCTTTGCCCGGTACTGAAATTGGTGCCACCTTCGGAAACGCAGAAATCCAGTTCACCGGGTAATCCTGAAACAGTTCGATTCAACTGCACCTGGGAATGTGTGGAGGGGAAGTAAATAAAATGAACTGAACCAAATTAAATTGAATTATATCATATTAAATAAGCCTCTCACTATATGAACCACAAAATGGGACGTACAAGATCGTACGTTCATGCATCGATATGATTAAAATTAAAGAATTTCAGTAACCGAAATGTCAAGGCTAGGTTCAAGATCACGATGTTGAAAAGTGTTTGATCCACGACTACGGTTAAGGTGGGACAATCACCTGAACAGAGGGATTTAATCCACATGGGTATGAAGAATGGTATTGTTTGATGATAGAATTTGAAAATATGCAAGCATAGGCAAACTACTATATTAAGCTTAGCATATACATATTTCATTCGCTTCTCTCTAGCCAGACAGTCCTCTTGAAATATTCGCCAAAAACACACGTAGGTCGTTCAGTATGAGTACGAACATGAAAGTGAGCTGCACATTGTATTGCATGACTCGCATTCTCTGCTCGTTAATGTAGCTCCTCCACTGAATGATTTCGGCAACCTACACAAGCCAGATGGATCGTAGACTCAATTTACGAGAATCGAAGCCTACCAATGAATCGCAATGGTGCAACCAGACAATGAAGTAAGTGTGACGGTCAACTTCGGATATCAAGTTCGTTGTACTTGTGGCGTTTCCTTCTATGGGACAATTTCTCCAGTCCTAAGGCTTGAAATAACCCTAAGAAGATATGGCACCTGACGCGGTTTGCTCATTTACACCATCAATCAATTTGGCAATTGCAAATGTTTCGAGATTGTGTATCTTTGTCCCCAATTTCGCTGGATGTCACGTGCTCCTCAAACTTTATTCACTTCGGTCCCCATGGACTGATGCTTATCAATTCTTCTAATATACCGTCGCAATTTGGTGCGGTAGTTGAACTCGAGGATAAAAATGTGTCCCGTCTTTGGAACAGGTGTGCGGTAAGCTTTTCGGGGAAAATATGGAAGTCAACTTTATACGGTGTTCTTTGAGAGGATGTGAGTCTTCCTGCCACTCATCGCTGACTTATTGCTGTTGCTTATGTATTTGCCGCATCTGACCATGACAAACACCGGTCAGGTAAGCGTTTTTTTAACACGACTTGCTGCTTTCACTTTGTTGGACCATCTCCGCTTTTCACACCGTGATAGGGATATCTTCAGTGTCATGCTTTGCAGCAGTGAACAGTGTAAGGTGTTACAGTTCTTCTTCCAAACGGACCCCATTATGTTATTTTTAACGGCACATCCCAATGTACTTTACCGCTTAGGTTAACCGGCAGTCGTACTGGTGATAATTTTACTTAGCCACACAGAAGCAAAATGCTGTCACTGAAGCTTCTCGCAAACTTCAGTTGTGCATCGACCGGGGCTATATATCAAACCACAGTATCCTATCTATGTCTATTGTATCGAGGTTCGGTTGACGGACTGGTCAAACGATGCTACAAAGGTGTTATGAAATAGCTGAAGATGAAAACTTGGTGTTATGCGATAATGACAGCAATGACCGTGATTAGACGTGCAAGCATTCAACTCTTCTTGAATCCGCTAGTTCGACTGATCGAACCAATGAGTGTGTACGCTAAGCCAAATCAACGGTCACGAGAGCATTGCAACAACAACTGTGACACGCATATTTGTTTCCGATACTGTCAGGTGACCTTGCCGAAATACCGCTAGCCTTGTTTACGTCAGACCAGCGCAAAGTGCGCTAGGGTCAAGTTGTACGTTCCAACAGACCTGGTAATCAATCAATCCGTCACCTCGATCAGGCAGAAAGCAGACAAAACAAATAGTTCATTCGTATAGGGCAGCATGCTATAGCAGCCTAAAGAAGGGTTAATGTACATGTCCCGACATGTACATCATCTGAACGCGATAGCGGCAGTTCGGTCAGCCAGCGAGAAACTCATCGGCAGTGGTGTATCCTCATTGCGACTTATCCGCATCCTCCTATTTGGAATGCAAGAAAGTCAGGTGCAGAGATCAGCGAAAGAGTACAGCAGCGTCGTTATACACATCACTGCAGTATGGGCAATGTTGCATGTGTGGAGTGATGTCCGATGACTCATAAGCTGGACTTGCAAAATCCACCGGATTTCTATTCACACTATTCTTGTTAAAATATCCTGGAAACCAGACTGCTCGACGAGGGGCCAAATCTTCATCAGTACCCTGCGATTCGAATGGATTAGGCACTAATGCCTTCCAGCCGAATGTCAACAACCTCATTAGGGGTTGAAATCAGTGTGAAAAACGCACGCTACTCCTTCGTGATTACTAGTGGTTTGATGAACCGTTTCGTAGTTATTAGAGACCTTTGTCACTATCCCGGTTGGAGATCGAGCTGTCACTAACAAAGGGCTGAAATTGCAACAGAAAACCTTGGGCATTTTGTCGTCGGTTTTGAGTGTAAAACCGATAAATTGTCACATATATGGTCAAGCTAGAGTTATTATATCAATGCGCTAAAAAGTGCATTCAGCTTGCATTACGAAATATAATCGGGATCGGTTAACCCAAAACTACGTCTCAGGTGCACAGAAGCCAAAACTGAATCAATTTCTTTTTACTTACGTCATGTAATGGAGTTTGAAAACGACTTCAAACAGCTGGGACTCATGGTCAAACAATTAACTCACACCTACCAACGTGATAAACACTAGCTGACTCGCCGACGTCAGGTGAACTAAACGCACAGAACAGATAAATGCAATTTTATCCCCTTACTTATGCAGATGAAACAAGTAAATCTGAAGCGTTTCTTCAGTATATTGATATCGTCACGCTTCTTCTGCATGTACCTAGCGCAAATCTAGCCACTCCATCATCTCAGTACCGTATGCCAACCACTGGTTATGGCGGCACCTTCGGCTTTCGCGACTCATGAGTTTGCGTGCACCGTTTTGCTGACTGGTGGACAATATCAAAATCCCAGGACACTAAGGATAAAAAATGAAACATCTACTTCCGAAATTCGCCAATCCCGGTTTCCGACCCTGATTAGCGAGGACATACCTAAGATTCAAAACGTGATCAGTTACTTTCAACAGTAGGTGTGAATTAGGCCAAACTAATTAGCTGTAGGGATTCTGGCGCCCAGAAGTTAACAGCGGAAGTGGATGCCTTTGTAACCAGTGCTCCCAGTATATGCTTGGTCTCGGATATACTGAACAGGCACAACCGCCACCCGATCGCTACGCTCTACCACGCTCTCCAATAATGCACTAATTATGTCATCTCGATGTCACCGATGCAATCAAATTGCCCAGCTCAGCGAACAAACCAGCGACCATATAGTGAACAGCCTGTGATCATCATTGGTCCTTATGTTAAAAATTGAATGCAAAGAAAAAGATGAGTAAACAGTCGATTTCATCTGTTGTATGGACTCTATCAATATCCTGAGTAAATATATCTGAATCAATTGCGAACTAGTCACAATGTCCTTTTCCTGAGGCACATTCATCGCACAGAGAAACCGGTACTTCAAAGTCGTTCCCGATCCTGCTTTATGGAACACAATGCCCGGATGTGTATCGTTGCGGGACATATGGGCAAACCGCAATAAGCGGATGTTATCTATGCATTTGGTGACCACTTTCAACCTTCTTGTCCAGAGCTGAGCTGCCTGAAATCACCGAACGTCACGTGGATCGGATAAATGTGTCGCGAACCGGCTACGGATCAAAAGGTGATGTTCATATAGGTCAACATACGGGCCAATCAGAATCGAGCATTGGGGACTCAGTTCTCCTCACTCCACTACGAATATCCAAGCTTGACTATGTGCAAATTCAGCGGTAACTCTATGAATACAGCAGTGGTATTCTTCCTTTGCCACCATTAAAGGTTATTCCCAGCTCCTGGGCCTTTCAACTCACCGTAGTCCGCGAATAGCGGCCAAAGGTCAACATTGGATTTGCAATCCTCAACAGGTTCAGATGGCGAAATCCAGCAGAAATCTCCCGTACCTGCACTTCGGTGGTCAGAACCCCCACCCCCCCACACACACACTCCAGTGGTCATGCACGAACGCACATTTGGGGGCATGCCTTCCGCATGTCATGTGGGGAGCGAAAGCACCCTCATAAGAGGCTGTTTACAGTAGAAACATAATACATTACGCCATCCAAAGAAAGTCAGCGCCAGTTGTTCACAATGAATACGTCATACCTAGTGGGTTGTTCCTCGTATGAGACTAAGTAAACATGCCTTTTCGTGTTATCATAAAATATTTACCATAAACATCTAGTAAGCACGATGAGATGACTACCGTGCAGCAACGGAGAAAACATACGAAATAGCTATCTAGTTTTTGGAAACGCGTAGACGCCTGATCCCGATAGAAATAGCCAGCGATAATTTTTAAAGCTGTTTAGATCACCTGGCTACTCGAAGTACACAAAAACCAATCACTATCGGTCGAACAGATGGATGGGGTTGATCGGTGGGGTATTACTCCAATCGATTTTTATCTCAATTCCCTGAATCACCCACACTCAGAGTGAGTGAGTGCAAACATTTGTGAGATTACACCAGTGAGACAATGGGATTTAATTTATCCCAGCCGGTTCAACAATGCTAAGAGCAGTGGTCCGAAGTGCATAGTGCATTACCAGTTCCCTTTGAAATGAGCCTTTCGCGTTTTTGTTGGAGCAAAGACCAAAACCAGTGACTCCCAAGCCCAACTAAAGAAGAAAATCATGCACTTGGAGGTGAACTCTGAACATGGAAAATGACAAGAGTTGTAAAAACACACGAGAAGAGAGAATCAAGCGGAATTTGCCGTCACCTACACTCAGATTGACAGATGTTGCAAGATAGTTGGATTCATGTGAAGTGATGAAGTCCAACTACCAGGTAGATGCCCGATAAGGTATAATACAACAAAGTTGCGGAAGTTGCAGTATGAGAAAAGTTGAGTTCGAATTTCTACTTTAGATCAGAAAATGGAACAATCCTGAGTAGGAAATGATAAGGAAGGCACTGGGCATTCAATAGGACCCACAGTTACAACGAACGTTTCTGTTTGATGATCAAAAAGTATATCATTTTATTTTCCACTGCTTTGTGGACGGTACAATGAAGCAGAAGTGTCCCCCAAGTAGTCAGGAGACTACGGTAAGCGAAAAATAAGTTCATCCTTGGGGGAAAAATCCAATGACGAATCCCAGGATCAAACAAATATAACATTCGGAGTTGGAGAGTGCAGAAAGCCAGTTATCAGACCTCAGTAAAATCCGACTTGATACTAGTCAATTATCTGAAGTTACGCGCGGGGTGGGGGGTATCCATGAGTGTCTAGCAATGGGGGATCTTTGACTACAGAACTGATCATCAGGGATGATGGAAAGCTTACTGAGTTGGTTATTATATGAACTTTCTTTGGATGATGGGAAAGCCTGCATCGCGGCACATCACGACACTGTAATAAGAGAGGCCCCTGAGATCACCTAGTGCACTGCATCCGGTCAGCAGTTTTACACAAGCTTCTGGTCGGTCGGATGTAGACCCAATCACGACACATTTGCAGCTGAGGGGGAAACTGCAGATAGGCCAGCTGGTATCAAACAACTAGAATAGGGATGGTGAAAAAACCACTCCCTCGGAAACCACACATTTCCGCCAAAAGTGTTGTCCAGTCTTAGTCACATAAGATATCAGTGTGGATTTTACATTCTGAACAAGCCACGAGGAGGCTCGAGGAGACCCACTAAGCTGCGGTCTTCAGGGGAAAGCTGTAACAGCCCCACTTTACCATACACACTTGTATCGTCCAGGAAGAGAAGCCAAACCATCTTTTAAGTACGATCCAGTGAAGAAAAGACATCGAAGATCGAGCAGATGGCAAAATGCCTAGAGTCAGCAGACAGTGGAATGTGTATTATCTCGTTTTCTCAATCAGTTTCACAAGTACACGAGTGCCACCGATGGATTGGTAATTCCATAAACCTTTTTGAGGTTGCGGACGTAATACTTAAGACGTTCCATATAGTTGCACTTTTGCCCGAAGGCGAGAAGATATCGGTTGGGAAAGCGACTGGCGATTAATTTGGCAACCCAGGGGTTAGATAAGTTTCCTGAATACAGTATTACTCATAATATGGTATAGTGGTCCTTTTCAAGGTGAACAAAGACAATAGATTGGTCAGCTGTGTCAGTGCAATTAAGTTTATCCAGGCCAGTGACAAGAAAAGCTTTGGGACACAGCTGCTCTGAGTCATTTCAGAATTATCGGAAGTTCTGATTGCCTAGTGGTGTTTCGGGGATATATTTCCCCGTTTAACTCCGTTTTCCTTCGTCTTTGAAGATATCCGACAGGCGATAATCGAAATGGCCCTGGAGAATGAGAAATAATCAAAACAGTGATCGATAGTACCCGAGAGTTGTTCATGATTGCTGAAGGATTGTGACAATGAAAAATGTGGAAACAAGTGGTCGTAACCTTGTTTGTCAACTAATTGATCCCTTTGTTTAACTGCCCTTGGGCACGCATATACTCAAATGTACGTATTGCTAGAGTTCACGTAGTCCAGTTAAAAGTGTGAAATTCTATAATAATGACAATCCTGAGATTGTGAGCTAATGTATGAACCATCAAAACTATTGGCAAGAATAAAAAGAGATCAGTTCAAACAGGAAATCAGTGTCGTAGGGAGAGATACCAAGTGACAAAAATACGTGCTACAGGCAATGTACAACTTTTACGGAGAAACTCAGGAGAGTAGTCGACAACCTTGCACTCCGAAAGTAGGCAGGACGTGGTACTCTTGAACAAACGTCACACAGAATGTGCGAAGAGCGACATGTACTTCGCATGGCAGAAGATAGTTTGCCTCGTAAGGCTCTTTTCGTCCGACTCTGTGCTGAGTGGAAGCGACCGAGAGATGGAAAATGTATAGCTTGGTAACGAAGTATGAAAACACTAGCCAGTAGCTGAGACAAGTCAAGAACTGCCGCCTACCCGGATAGGGACCCCGGGATTATACTTACTAACGGTTAATGACACTGGCAGAAACGGCCCAATCGCGCAGTCGGTGGCGCATGTGCATCGAACCTATCGCCTCCAGTGTGTAGCTACCCAGTCCTCAAACTAGCTGAATATGCCATTGCATCCAAGGCTTGACTGTATGTCCAATACTTCCCCAATTCCAGGTAGCAGCTGGAATCAACGGGCTCGTGGTGCACGGTTAATAGCTGATGAATTTAACTCAACTGAGTGACTGAAATGTGCACAAACATGTAACCCTTGTTCATAAGCAGATCTACGAAGAAAACAGTTCATCCCCAATTGGATTAACCAAATTAATAGTGTTAACTGTCTGCAAAAGGGAAATAAGTTCGGGTTAATTTTTGAAACAAACGATACTGATCAATCAATCAGAGGTCCAAGGCAATACAGCTACAGTGGAACAGACTGGGGAAGTGCCTTGTTCTCTTGTTTAGTAAACTGAACATAAAATGACTTACTGAGGAAAGTGCGTCCCATATAGCCGAGTCCTCTAAACGATGATCAGGGTCCAGATTTGAGCGGATTGTTCCGGAGAACATAATAGGATCCTTTATGGATTAGAAAGAAAAATGGTGGAAAGCCCAATACAGGTTAACTTGAAATTTGTGAAGGTTAAACTAATGTACGACAGACCGGCCACTTCGTCCCCGACTCAAAACAGATTCTTCACTAACCACCTTGCGACTTTTCCAAAGAAAAGGGCTACAACATAAGTCTTTGAAGCTCTAAGCTTTCGTGACAATCATCCAGTTAACCGCATTTCAGCTTAACAAATGTAGGGCCAAGAAGAGAAAAAGAGTGGGTGAGGGAGGGGACCTAGTGCTGGCCTATGTCAAGCATACTGAGGTGCCTACATCTCCAACCGCTCAATCAGACAATCTGGAAAGAAACTGACAGCACGAACGCCACTGACATCGACTAGCCGCCATTTCTTGCAACGTCTCCAGCCAAGCACAGACGGGGTCACGGGGACCCCATCCTGGGAGGCGTACAACACCCAAACACTTCGTGATCTCTTTCACGCCTTTCTGCCAAGTCATGTACTGTCCACCTCGCGTTTTGCGCCATCCTGAAGGAGGCACGAAGAACAACACTCGTCTCGGTAGACGGTGTTTCGGCATGCGTAGCACATGACCGAGCCATCGCACTAAACTTGCCAAGCTAACGGTTGACAATTTTCCCAGTACATCACATTTCTTCAGCATCTCAAAAGAAAACTGTCACACTTGACAAGGCTGGTAATTTAATCAACAGAGTGAAAGACAAATAGTCATGCAGGCAGTCTCCTCTTTCAAAAACGCTGCTGAGGTAATGTGCAAAGCACATTACGATCCATTGCGGATCTGTTCAGTAGGGTTGTCCGCTATGAGGATCCTACAATATCGCAGCTTGACTCCCCAGCATCGAAGACACAAGAAACTACAGACGTTACGTCTTCTCCTTGGTAAATCTTTGGATCATTTTCTCTTCAGCTAGGAGAAAATCAACCCTAAAGATAGTTGCTTGTAATTCACTAATCTACAGACGATGTTAAGCGAGTTGCACATCCTAAAAGAATGGAAGCTGAAACACGATAGGGAATATGGCTGGGCTGATTAAGGCAAACACCCTTCAAAATGCCAAAGTATTTTATGGTATAAAATTACAGTGGTCACAGCGCGAATTTACTGGCAGGCAGGTCCGTGGCTCAAACTCGACCTCTGCATCTCGACTCGTCCTGCCTGGACTTGGGCAACCTGGCAGTATCGCAGCACTTGTGCTTCCTCCAGGTGGCATAGCAGCTAAGCACCAAAAAGGTGTTACAGCTGGATGATTATCAAATATTAGGTAAAAAAACACTTGGCCGACGCACTAGACAGAGGTTCGATTTAGCCAGTCATTAGAACCACCTTGATTCGCAAATGCGTTTTGAACTCTGTATGCGTTTCATGTGGTTTTTGAGCGCTAATTAAGTCTGACCAAAATTTGAGAATTATGCTTATTGGACAAGTCTCAAAGATGGAAAGAGGTAATGGCATGTTGTCAGTAGTATCACAGACATTTTAAGGTTGATCCCAGGGGCGCGTTATACCGCACGAACAGCAGTCAGAATGAAAAACTCACCTGCGGAATGATGGAGATTCTCCTTCGGAGTTCCTTGAGCTCAACGTGAGCAACGTCGATTCCATCAACCATAAGCTTCCCTTCTTGTGTTTCCACCAGCCGAAATAATGCAGAAATAAGCGAACTTTTTCCGGCTCCGGTACGGCCAACAACACCGACCTTGAAAGGATAGGAACATGTTTCATTTGTTAGACGTAGTGAGTTGCATTGCAGTTAATGAATGATTTCACCTAATACTAGCGGTGTGGTGAAGGTTGTCGAGACGTATTTGCTTTGCCCATACCAGAATAAAATCTGTATTACCATAATAAAAATTAAAAACTAAAAAGCACATGATTCTCTGCTGGGACACACTGCCCATAAGATTGCTGAAAACTCTTCGACAGCCCACGACTAGTTTCACCCGTATTAAGTAGGCACAGTCTCCTACCTTCCGTCAAACTGATGTTGTACTTGAACGGCAAACTAGATGAAATTTCCCAAGTACACTCATTTAAAAACTGAGTTGGTATTATTGAGAGAATCCATTGAAACCCTGCTAAATTTTCCTTCAGGGTATTCTTCAGCTGGGGCTCAGTCGATTATCTCAGGAAAACCGAATTTATGTGCGAATGCGTGAATTACGCGAATGGCGTACAAGTTGAGTTCAAGTAGAACATAGGGTTGACGAAAAGCACAGGTACTGTGCCTAAAGAAAGGCGAAGTCTTTTCAGTAACGTTATGAGTAGTTTGATCCCTCTTCAAAAAACACCGTAATGTTAAGAATATCGTAGAAAGTGAAACATAAGGTCGTCTTAGTGCAGCATATTCGGCTGAAGAACGAGAGACAGCTGGAATTTAGTTGAGTCTTCTGGTCAAACCAGAAAAAGTGTGTTGTTACTCGTCTTGGGAACCGATGGCATCTAAACTCAGTGAGCTACCATCTGGAAGAAGTCGAACCACTGGTAGCTGGCACGGAAATACCGTAATCTGACAGTGACACTCACCTTAAGACCAGCGACGATATCCAAGCTGATGCCCTTAAGAGCCCAAGATGCTGATTCATGATAACGGAGCCACAGATTGTCAAACACAATTCGGCCAAATTTGGGCCAGTCATCTGGCAGTTCGGTTATCGGCGGTTGCGTGATTTCCGGCTCCAGGTCCATGTATTCTACGGCCCGCTCAACCGATACCATCTGAGATGTTCAAATAGAAATAGCGATGACGGTCCAAAATGTATCAAGTTTGGCATACGAATCCAAATGCTCTTTTCTCCATGAATACGTTCAGAGATGGACAGGTAGTCAACATACCGATTTCCGAGACAGCCGTTCAGCGTTTTATGACGTAATAAGCTAAGCTTCCACTTCTCTAGAGCAAAAAAGCTAATTTGTTGGTTACAGACTAACGCATGCATTGATAATGTCTTCACAGGTGATGACAAAACGTCTGCAAGTAAATTATCATACTCGGCAAAAAAATCAACGGCGACCTTACCTACAGCCAATGAACGCACTCAAGCCAAATTGCCCAGTTTTCGAGCGGTTTATAATCTATCTGTCCTTAGCATTACAGAGTTTGAAATTGAGATTCTGAGGTAGTGACGGTACAGGTAATGGTGATCAGCCGATAACAGTGATGAGGGTCCTAAACCCATCAAACAAATGGCCACAGATTGTGGAAACGTCCAGTCAAACTACTCCAGATCCTGGATCGCTCAAATGTTCGATTGCTTTCGGAACACACAGATTCACTGTCTAATCTAGTAACATGCAAAATGTCAGAGGCGGCGAATACCACCAACATGTCACCGTAAATCTGCGTTTTGGTGCTATCGGTTCAACAAATAGGCATGCAATAAATAAACCTTGTGCGATAAAAGCTATCCAAAGTTGTACTTACCTGATTTTCTACTTCCGCACTCTGTCTGATGCACCACTGGAACAAGCCGACAAGACTGACGGCGTAAGTGATCATCAGTCCCACGTCTGCAGCAGGAATATCTACAGTGGCATTGGAAGAAAACGGTATGCTTCATACTAGCCAGTGTAACATAACCCACTCTTTTTAAACACCCAACTAAAAGACGTATGTAATACGAACCACTCCGGTTTAGGAAAGTTTTTCACTATCAAACGAAAAAGGTATAGGTGGAAGGAGGAAAGACATCCGCTGAGAAGTCATTTATTGG